TCTCTCTCGCTCTCTTTCTCTCTTCCTCTCCCTCTCATTCTTTCTCTCTCTTTCTCTCTTCCTCTCCCTCTCATTCTCTCTCTCCTTTCTCTCTTCCTCTCCCTCTCATTCTTTCTCTCTCTTTCTCTCTTCCTCTCCCTCTCATTCTCTCTCTCTCTTTCTCTCTTCCTCTCCCTCTCATTCTCTCTCTCTTTCTCTCCCTCTGATTTTCTCTTTCTCTTTCTCTCTCTCAGCAGATCTCAAAACTTAACACAGAAGAATCCTGGGAGTTTATAAGAATGCAGGCTTCCAGGCCTCCTGAATCCTGTTTCCTCAGGATGGGCTTGGTCGAAGACATTGCTAACAAGCTCCCTTGTACTTTTAATGTCTGTCCACGTTCACTGAAAGGATGCTCCATGGCGCAGCCACGGTCTGAGTGGGAATCTTTCCTGATGGCACCTATTCTCTTTCTTCTCATTTAGAAGGAAAAGGAGATGGAAAGAATGCACAGGAAATGGATTGTGCTGACTTTTTCCACTAAAAGCTGCCTCCAATTTTATGCACACTTTGGAATTCTTCTATGCTTGTCTTAAAAAACTTGACCCCCTAAGCCTGCCAGTTGACCTCTTGTCCTGCAGTTACCCTGGGGCCCCTCCTTACACACTGTAACCAGTTTGCGAAGCAGCGATGACTGGTTCAGTTTCAGTTGAAGTTCCTTATAAAACTAGTCAATCTGGAAGGTCATTTGTATCAGATCCAGAGGCGGTGGTTTGGTTATTCTTGGCTTACACTAAACTTGGAAGGGAACTGAAGCATCAGGTAAAAAAAAAAAAAAAAAAAAAATCTACACTTAAACGCAGCATGAAAATGAACAAACCCTAGCTTTACACACCATCCCGGACAGATTCCACCGAAGCAAGGCTGAGCAAAAGTTTCTTCGTTTTCCTGAAGTTCAAGGACAGGCAACAATGGCCTATAACTGTGATCAGCAAACTGCAGCTCTCGAGCCACATGCGACTCTTTGGCCCCTTGAGTGTGGCTCTTCCACAAAAAACCATGGCCTGGGCGAGTCTATTTTGAAGAAGTGGCGTTAGAAGTTTAAGTTTAAAAAATTTGGCTCTTAAAAGAAATGTCAATTGTTGTACTGTGGATATTTGGCTCTGTTGACTAATGAGTTTGCCGACCACTGACCTAGGCTGAAAGAGGGGAATAGGGTCTGTCTTTGAAGGCTTACTACAGGGTGGGAGGTTGGTAGGAAATGTTCTAAGTTATGATTTAAATCTTATGTAGGGTGTATACACATAAAGTCATTGCACTAAATGCTTAAACTGTATGCATTTTCCTGCATGTATATGATACCTTAGTAAATGAATAAAGAGGGTGACAGCTGTGAATATGACAATGGTTCACTAGAAAAAAGAAATCTAAAGTCATATCTATGTAGTGAGTAAAAATGACCAAATGCAAAAAGAAAATAAAAAAATTGGAAACTACTATAAAATAAGCAGTTTCTTTGAACTCTCATTGTAATCTGAACACTTTAACAGGACCCCCAACTTGCAGACCTGGTGCCCTCAAATACCTCATGAGATGGAGTGTGGGATGAATACACTCCTAGGAGTGATTCCTTTGTATCCGTTGAAATATCCACAGCTCAGAAATAGGCTGACGGAGCAGTTTTACTGGCTTTTGATAAAGGCAGCAATCGAGAACGGGGAAGGAAATAAGTTGTCAGGCCTTCCTGGGTGAAGTTGGGGTTCTGTCTAGGTCTGGGTGACTGTGCATGCATAGGCTGACACATCGGGCCTGTAGAGCAGCGGGTGTATTCTTTGTCTCCTGAAGCTAGGCCGTGACCAGTGGGGTGAGGCCTGGACATTGAAGTCAGGCATGCCCAGGAGGGGTGCTGCATCTGGGACCAGTCCAGGAACAGTCCATGGCAGAGTTCCTTCCTTTTATTCCCCCATCCACCAACCCTTTTTATTTTTTGTAATTAATTTTTTTAATTTTTTTTATTATTTTATTATTTTTTTATTTTTATTTTTTACAGAGAGGAGGAGAGAGGGATAAGAGAGAATTATCGATCAGCTGCCTCTGCACACCCCTGACTGGGGATGTGCCCGCAACCCAAGTACCTGCCCTTGACGGGAATCGAACCTGGAACTTTTCAGTCCGCAGGCACTACCCACTGAGCCAAACCGGTTTCGGCTTGAAGGTTTTTTTATGAACATCTATTGTAAGGTGACTAGATGTCCCGCTTTTGGCGGGACAGTCCCGATTTTTAACAATTTGTCCCGCGTCTCGCGGCATTTAAAAAAAAAGTCCTGATTTTTTCTCTCCTCCCTCCTTGCTGAGTGGTTTATCTGACACAAGTAGCATTGTCTGGTGTTCTGGAGTCACAGCCTTGCTTTGTCATAGAATCTGCTCTGTCAGGTCTGGGTGCTATGGGTGAGGGGAGGCCGGAGACCTGGAAATTTCGCAGGTGCTGGTTGTCTAGGCAGAGATCAAGCCCCACTCTGCTTCCCGGTGGAGAGCCGGCCTGGGCTGAGTGACCGTGAATGTGGTCGTGGAAGGTCTTTGATTCTTTAGTATAAAGCAGAGGTTTGAGAAAGATAAACCATGACCGCGCCTGCACATCAGGCCCAGAGTCTGCTCAGAACTGAAACTGGAATGTTTACGGGAAGTCAAAACAGGGGCATGCGCGGTCACACCCAGCACCTAGCTCAGGGTGAGGAGGCGCCCCGTAAACACGCCTGTCTCGTTTCTGGATTGGATGAGGGCCTGAGCACATCTTGGGGCAAAAGATCTCTTTCCAAGCAAGCTAATGCTCAGATTATTAGGGCTGGAACTTTCTCCCTAAGACACCCTGAACAAAATGTGACACTAAACAGATTAAAAAAAAAAAAAAAAAAAAAGAAGAAAAAGGCAAAAGCTACCTTAGGATTGATGAGGATCCTGATGGTGAAGGATAAGTAGCACATTAGTTATGACAGGTTCTGCTTCTAACATAACCCAGTGTCCTTGAGAAGCTTCCTGGGAGAGACAGGGCACAAGTCACTGTTTTCCTCAGAAACGGAGCCCAGTGACTGTGGTCTGGCCCCTTTGTCCACCGATGACAGAAAACTCGAGAGCCTGCTTCCCACCCAGCACACCTATTGGAGGGAGGGGAGAAGAGGACCTTCCTGACCAGAGAAGGGCCTTCCCTCTTCTTCCTGCAGAGGAGCATGGCAGCATGGGGTCAGGACCCCTCGTGCACCACCCCCTCCTCACTCCCCAGCCTCCATGCAGTCAGACTGCCAACCAGAAGTCCCCGGTTTTCTTCCATGGGCAGTGGTTGGCTCCTCTTGGGTCTTTGTCTTTGCTGTACTCCAACACACCCCTTAGCTCTGAAATCTATTAATATTGACTAGAAAAATTTCTATGTGCCAAGGAGCAATCTTTCTCTCTCTCACCCCCCCCCCCCCCCCCCCGTTCCCTTTTCCTTTTACTGCAGGTACTGAGAGGATTCCCAGGGAACTGCCAATCCTTGCTTTCTCCCCCTCTTGCTCCCTTCCCAACACTGCTCCCATCACCAGATTACACAACTCCTTTGCCTGTGGCAATTTTCCCCTGAGCTAGTGTTCATTCTCTAACCCAATTAGTTCCAGATTCTCTCTCTCACTTTTATTTTCCCTACATACACCAGGAAAAGCGACTCCAGTGTATTTCCTGGTTAGTGGGATGAAAGGCAGAGTATTCTGAACTCCTAAACTTTCATTTCTGTGTCACAGAATGTTTGATGAAGGTAATGCAACTGGGGAATCCCCTCCTCTTTGCCTCGACCCCCCTCCCCCGCCCCCACACACCAGCCGGCATGTACTTACATATTTTATAATATATATTTTTATAATATATTTTTTATTGATTTTTTACAGAGAGGAAAGGAGAGAGATAGAGAGCCAGAAACGTCGATGAGAGAGAAACATCGACCAGCCGCCTCCTGCAACACCCCCCACTGGGGATGTGCCCGCAGCCAATGTACATGCCCTGGACAGGAATCGAACCCGGGACCTTTCAGTCCACAGACCGATGCCCTACCACTGAGCCAAACCGGTTTCGGCTACTTACATATTTTAAAAACCCTTCTCTGTGCCTGGTAATCAAAGCACAGGGACAACCACATTGTGGAACATTGTAGAAAAGGTGCGTTCTGTGTCTGGCAAGATGCCAAGCTGAAAACAGGAGTACATAAATGATATGACCAGGAAGCAAACATCTCCCGATCTTGTAGGGTCAAATGGGCTCTCTGTGGAAAGGAAGCCACCCGTGTCCCCAGAAGCTGTCATCTGGAGGTCTCCACAGGTGGGAACGCCCTTGGTGGCTGTGGGTTCTCCCAGTCGGGGAGTGGGGAAACCTCCCTAGACACCTGCAGCTAGATACCCCGACGTGCTTGGACTCCGTGGAGACTGTCATTTGGACACCTGGTTTACTAGTGAGCCTTTTATTAAGAAGCCCTTTAGTTGTCAGCCTTACCCAAAATGCATCTCCTCCTCAGGGCTGTATCCACCAGCCATCCCAGCCAGCAGCCCTAGGCAGGCACCGGAAGAAGCCAGGAGACCTGAGGATGTGCCTGGCATCCTAGGTGTCCTCTCCAATGCACACCTTACCTCCCGCAGGGCTGTGGACCTAGCCGGGCAATGGGAGAGTCAACACCTTGGAGGCAAGGGAGTGGGGGTACTAGGGCTTTGACCTCAGAGTTAGGGGCTCCCTAAAGCTTCCTGAGGAAAGCCTGAAGCCTCACATTGGCCAGGGACCCCCAGGCCGCCTCACCCAGGGCCCCAGCTTGAAGCTTTCTCCAGCGGCATCAAGGAGTGAAGTGCGGGCCCGGGCCAGAGGGGGGAGCCAGGACACCCCCAGTGAGCCAAGAGCCTCTGGGGAGCCCTGTTCCAGGTCGGGAGGCTGGCGTGCAGGGGGATCCCCACAAGGGGGCGGAGGGAAACCCAGGAGGCCCACAGGAGGAGGCGAGGCGGGTAGCTGGGCGAGCGCAGCCAGGCGCACTGCACTCGTGGCGCCCGCTTTCCGGGCAGAGGACAGGTCGTGAGCTCCAGAAACCCCGGGTTTCTCCGAAAGTTTCTAGTGAAATCCATTTTCCCGGTGACCGGCTTTTCGGTGGCGGTTTGTGTTTCCCTTCCCCTGGCAAGAAACGATCTTGCCAGGCTAGCGCACCGGGCTCCCTGCTCAGCTGTCTCCTCCCCACGCGCCCTCTCTGCGCGGTGCTGGCCAGAGCCGGGCTCCGTCCCCCGCTGCCCCCCGCCCGCGCCCGGGTCCCCGAGCTTTGCCGGCTGCGGGGAGTTGCTCCCTCGGTTCTCCCGCGCGCTCCGGCTCCCGGTGCACCGACCATGGAGTAGGCGGGCGGTCCCGTCCAGCGCTCCTGCAGCCGGTGAGGCCGGAGCCAGCCCGGGTGGCCTCGCCAGCCAGCCGGCAGCCTTGGCCAGCGGCGGGGCCTCCTCCCGCCGGTCCGTCCCTGCTCCTCCTCCTCCTCCTCGGCCGCCCCCGCCTCCCGGCCGCCCCCGCCGCCCCCGCCGCGCCGCCGCCCGAGGCCGATCGCGGACGCCGAGCGTGGGAGCCATGGCGCGCGAGAAGAGGGACCCTGAGCGCCGGGAGGCAGCGGCGCGGGCCCGAAGCGAGGAGGAGGAGGAGGAGGAGGAGGAGGAGGAGGAGGAAGAGGAGGAGGAGGAGGAGGGAGAGGAGGGACTGAGCGATAGCGACGACGAGGACCGAGACCAGCAGACCGGCGGCGGCGAGGCAGAGGCACGGGAGGCTGCAGCGGCTGCGGGGCGGGAGCGCGGCGAGAACGCGCGGCTGCAGAGCGCAGGGCTGCCTCCCGCAGCCGCCGTCCCCGCCGCTGCCGCCCGCGACCGGAGCGGCCGCCGCCCGCCGGGGCCCCCGCCGGGGCCGCTGCCCTGCCTCCCGAGGATGCCCGAGGAGGAGGACCGCGAGCGGCGCCGGAGTCGCCGGAGGGACCTTCTGCTGAGCCAGCTCTGCTTCCTGGCCTTGGTGGCGCTGGTGCTCTGGTCGCTGTCAAGCTTGCAGGAGCATAATGGTGAGTGCTCGCCGCCCGCCCGGAGTGGGCGCTGCGGCTCTGGCGGCTCTGGGATCCCTGACCGGGCACGGGCGAGCAGGCTGGGCCAGGGGCACGGGTGCCGGGGACCAGGAATCCCACTGCCCCTCCGTGGGGCTCGGGCAGAGCTGGCTCCGAAGGGAGCGCCGCGCACGGAGTAGTTAGCACACTGGCTGCTTGGCTGGCCCTGGAACCCTTGCCCGTGTCTTTTGGAGGGACTCAGCCACAAGCTGGAGGCACTGTTCCCCTAAGCAAGTCCCCCCCCCAAAGTTGACCTGGTAAGATTCGCTACCTGTGCAGGTAAACCACCTGTCTGTGCACTGGGTGGAGGACATGCACAGGACTGGTTGACGGGTGAACACATAGTTGCCAGGTGTTCTCCATATGGAACAGGCGCGGGGTGGACCAGATAGGAAGCTCCACGCCGGCCTTTCCAGCACAGATGCTGGGAACTTCTAGATAAGAAAAAAAGTGTCGGCCACCGGCAAGGGTTTGGGAATGGACTTGTTCTCCAGTCGCCGGGAAGACCGATCCGTGTTGTGGACTCGCCGTTCTGAAATAAAGGGTTTTGGACTCGGCTTTCCTGGTGCCCTGCGGTGGGGCCACCTTCTCACCCGCAACTTTCGTTTTATCTTTGCCCTTGGCCTTCCTTGCGCTGAAATAGCTCTTGTGGGGAAATGTGCTCGGAACAGTTGTCCACAGAAAACAGTTCGGACCCCCGGGAGCAGCTGTCTAAGAAACAGAGGAAAGACTTGGAAGAATTAATTGTTGTTAAAATGGTTTTATGATCCCAGCCATTCAAAGTGGTATGTTTCCCGGGAAGATAGTCATAGAAATGACTGTGAGAAAAAGCAGTTTGTACCAATAGTGCTTTGGTGTTAAGAGAGACATATAGCTTTAACACAAGGTGTTAGGGAGTGCACAGTACAGGCATCTGGATGTTGATGGTAAGATATTTTTAAAGGTGCCATCAATTGAGGGATCGCCTCCAAATGGGCTGGTCTCATGCTTCGTGGGGAAAGCAGATGGTCCATCTTGGTTCAGGCCTTCGCAGACCTGTTGACAGACTTCATCATATATGGTAATATGAGAGTCGGCTCTGGTCCTCAGGGAAGCAGCTAAGATTGCTCCAGATTCCCGGGTTGTCTGGCGGTGGGGACTGACATCAGGTAGGGTTCTGTGCTGGGCGAGCAAAGTGGACCTGTCTCCCAGGGCAGCGTCAGAGCTGCCAGTTCTCACCAAGTGGGTTTTTATGAACCCCATTTCCATCTTCATTTCTCTGACTCAAAGAGCCAGTCTGTTCTTCGTGCCACCTTTGGAAAGGGCCATTCCAAGTCAATTACATGCCGGCCATTTTTTTCTTGCATGTCTGGGCTCTATGAGTCATAGAGTTCCCACCGCTTTCCAGGATAGAAAAGACATTTGTTTTTTCAGGATGGGGAATGTGACCCATACAACTATGTTCATCAGGGGGAGGGGGCTATCCGACCTGGGATGTTCAGGGGGAGGGAGTGTTAGACATTCTGCAGACTGGAAACCTGGTGGCTAGAATGTCATTTTGAAATGGTTTCCCTAAGCAGTGACATTTCTGTTCAGGTGCCAGTGACTCAGATTTAGTTCCACAGCATAGCCCTTCCCCTCACCCCTCTCTGGATCTCTCTTCTTCGTACAATTCGTATTCTCTCTCCCTCTCTCCACCCCCTGCCATAAATGTGGGGCTTAAGAAGACCCTCACACCAAGCACCTGAAGATAATGGAGAAAAGCCGACAGTGTTAAGAAGACGCTATCCAACCTCCATTTATTTCCTCCAAATGACATGTTAGTCATGATTCTGTGTTGAATCACCGTTTTTTTTTTTTCCCCTATCGCATATTGATAATTTCATTGCACGATGCACAGAAATATTTTGCCGCAAGGCACAAGTTTTTTTTTTTTTTTTTTGAGATAGTTTTAAAGATATTAAATTAATGCGTGTGAACCTGCAGGTGATTATTTTGCTTGGGAGGTTGTCATTCAACATACGTAGGCATTTGAATAGTGAGTATCAGGCTGGAAACTTGGTGCTACTCTACCCGAGGGTCCTTTTAGGATGGAAAAAAGTTTGGAATTTAGCCTTTTTAAAAGATGCTGTGACTTCGAGAGGCTGAGTGATTCACTTAAAGTCACGTAGCAACTGATAAGCAGAGGAAGAAACCAGCCTGAGTTGACCTGAGTTGACCTGGCTCTTTCATGTCACCTCTGTCCCCTGGTATTCATATCACCATGTGGTGCAGCTTTGTAATATTTATGTAACCACAGAGGGGTACCTTCCTAAGGATCAAAGGTAATATTTTGATTTACTCACCTGAAAGCCATGCATTGGTTAAGTGTAACTTCCCAAAACACTTTTCTAACACATATTGACTTTTTATTTTTTTTAATAAAAAGGATAGTCCTTTACTAAACCTAAATAGAGATTTGTGGCAGTTATGTTACATAATGTTGTATATCGTATGGAATCTGAGATACCTTTCTTGACATTTAACCAAACTCGGTATCGATTCTTTTCTGCTGTGATGAAACAGGAGCATAGTTAAACTAGGTCGAAAGGGTTAGCATTGGAATCAAGAAAAATGTTAATTCTCACAACAACAAAGGAATAATGATCATTGGAATCTGGTGTGCTCTAAAAAGGCAGTCACTGTGCTAAGTGCGCTATACAGGCATCGCCTTATTTAATCTGCAGACACTTTGCAGCTGTGTGAACCTTCAGCGGCAGAGAAGGAAAGAGCCGGGGTGCTCTGTTTAGTTGCTGACAATGGAGATCTTGTTTTTGATCTCTGCTTTCAAAGCCAATTGAAATAAGTTGTCAGATTTGCTAACAAATGTTTTCTTTCTTTCTTTCTTTCTTTCTTTCTTTCTTTCTTTCTTTCATTCTTTCTTTCACAGTGAGGATGGATTACTTTTGTATGTTTTGAGTTTTTAAAGTGTTTATTCTTTGAAGTAAGGAACCTGGTCACCTTTTTCTAGAAGTGATGTGGATAAAGCACATGGGTTCTAATTCAGAAGTAACCATTCCCTGAAGAATGGTCCTGATAGGTGAACAGTGAATAAGAACAATTATACACCTATCTATCTATCTATCTACTTACCTACTTTTACATATGCTAGCACATACACACACTTTGAGATACTTTCTCTCGAAGTTTCTATTGCTGTATAACAATCCACCCCACATGTATGAGTATAAAAGTTATTTTATTTTTTTTGCTCATGGATACTTTGGCTCAGACAGCCTAGTGAAAGATGGCTTTTCTCTGCTTCATTATGTCTGGGGCCTCAGCTGGAAAGATTGAAAGGCTAGGTGACTTGACAGCTGGGTCTGCAGTCATCTGGCGACAGCATCACTCCCGTGTCTGGGGTGGATGCCAGCTGTTGGCTGGACCTTCAGCTGGGATGTCAACCAGAACACTTACATGTGGCCTCTCCATGTGCCTTGGTTTGAACTTCCTCAGAAGTTTAACAAGTAAAAAAAAGTCCTCAGGGTTCCAAGAAAATAAGGTAGGAGTGCATGGCATTTTTATGTCTTTGCCTCAGGAGTCTCGTGTTATCACTTTCCTGTTGCTCAAGGCAGTGAGCAATGTCTGCCCAAGTTCGAGAAGATAGATACCGTCGCTTACTCAATAGAGGCGTGTCAGGGTTTGCTGTAGGAGAGCATGCGCAGTGGGAGATACTAGTGTGGCTGTCTTTGGAATACCAGGAATCCAAAGGCATAGTAACTTACAAGTAATTGTAGATATTTTCCAAGGTGGAAAATGGTGACTAATACATGCACTTCCACCTTATTCTCTTGGAACATACGTGTGTATGTCATTTTTTGGAATACCTTGCAATCATGAAAACATTGCTACTCATGTAACTGGCGTGGGATCCAGCGGTGGAAAGCGGGCTGGAGTTTTATTGCGAAGATCAGTTGCAGACCCGAGAGCCCATCTTTCACTTTGTGGTTTCCCATTCTCAGAGGACCATGACCGTGACCTTTCCATCCCTCGTGTGGCTTACAGGGAAGTCTTGCCAGATTCCCCAGCGTTATCTCCCCTTCCCATGCTTCAACACTCTGGCCTTTCTTCTCAAAAGGGTGACACTTCTGACCCAAGGCCTCCAGCACATGCTGGTCCCACTGTCACCACTGCGGTAGTTAATCCTTCAGCCTTCCCTTCCTGACCCACGATCTTCCTGACCAGAGGAGGCTCCCCATTTTGCTCTCTGAGCAGGCTCTATCCTCCCTTCATAGTGTGTATCACAGTTGGCAATTATGTATTTCTTTAGTTACGGCTTGAGTATCTTCACCAGATTCCAAGGTCAGGAGGTCAGGGCCACTATGAACTTGTCTCACCTTTGTCACCTCTGTCACTCAGCCCATAGAAGCTGTTCAAAAAGATATTTGTTGCCCAAACCGGTTTGGCTCAGTGGATAGAGCATCAGCCTGCAGATTGAAGGGTCCCAGGTTTGATTCCAGTCAGGGGCACCTACCTTGGTTGCCGGCACATCCCCAGTGGGGGGTGTGCAGAAGGCAGCTGGTCAATGTTTCTAACTCTCCGTCCTCTCAATTTCTCTCTGTTAAAAAACAAAACAAAAACAACAACAACAAAAAAATAAAATATATATATAAAAAAAAGCCCTTGTTAATCTAAAAAAGCCCTTTTGGTTTTCAAACTATGGTGTCTGTGATAGATCGAACTCCCATGTGTTAGGAACCCACTGGCTGACACACATTTTATTTTCATGATGTATAATCCTACCCTCATCCCAGCAGATTTCATGGGCTCACTCTGAGTTGCAGAAAGGTGAGTGCCTTGCCCGGCGTCCCCTCATTACGGGGCAAGTTTTGAACCCAAGCCCACCTTGGCCAGATCTGCAGGCCGCCAGACTCCCTGGCCTGGGCTGAAGAGGACATGAGTAGAAAATGGAAGTCACGCTGCCTTTTTCAGGCACCCAGAGA